CTCAAATTTGAAATAACTTTTATAGTCTTTCACCGATTATTGTTCAGTCAGTGACTATCGATTCACCTCCATAATGTAACAATTGAACAATGTTTTGTTTTAAGGTTGCATATCAAAGGTAAAAGTTTTTCTACTTATACTTAAATATATTTCAACACTTATATACATCAACACATAGCCACTTTGATCGACTATCAAAACCGCGTTACCTTACAGTATTCTCATAAGCAAATGTTAATGTACGTAAAAAACAGTCCATGATATCCTTTGGTATTCTTGGTTATCATCTTATCTTGTTATCCTTTAGTAAATGTTATAAGTAGAATATATTTGTAGAGTAATATAAATATTACTGCAAATAGGTTAGTATTCAAGTAGAAATAACTTTCTCACAAAATTAAGTATTGAGAAAGAGAATTAAATGCATGACTTAAATAGTAAAAAAAGTATATAAATAAAAAATCTTGAATATTAAATAAATATTCAATAAGAATAAACATACTAAACTGAACAACTTTTATTTATGAATATAACATAAAATTGTGTACATTAATTAATTGACCTCATCAGCAAACTTTTCATAGTTTTATTTTAGTCATTCTCAGAAGGTATCACTCTCAATTAAAACGAAATATTAATGACTTGACAAAATTAATGTGACATTTTTGCTATTTTAGTGACTAATTTACTATGTCGGTCCAGACGGGTCTGCCCTGTGATTTTAAAAACTAATAGAAAAGTTACGTATAACAAAGTTTGTTAGAAATTTTTCTGAACTTCTGACTTAGGATTACAATGCCCGTCTAGACATTGAAACAACGTATTCATTCCAACATATATTTATGCATTAAAGTCAAATTAATAATATCAAAATGTCATTAAAAGTTACAGCCTAAAGTTAGTTATTTAGTTTTTCTTTTAATAAATTATCTAAGTAAAAATAAGAACTATGAAAACTACTTTTGTATAAGATAAAAAATAATTCAATTTAATTTTTATCAAATAAATTATGTTTTCAATATCTACTGCTATACCATATATGCACTTCTAGAGTTGGATATATATTTATGTATACAGTTACTTGAAATATACTTAGAATTATACATATACCTAATAATTAATTTATACTCTAGTTAAAGTTTGTGACTCTATCAAAGAAGTCCGAGTTTTCATTTAGTGTATTTATATATTAATAGTAAGACAGAAGTTATAGGACTGAAGGACCATAACATTAGTTTATACTGGTTTCACACTAAAGTTTTGCTTGTAATTTTAGCTGTCAACTGTTGTTGCTTTCAATGCAAAATGAAAATTTTTGACAGTTAAAATTACAAACAAAACTCTCGAGTGAATCCAGTATTATGTTGTCATATGTGCTGTTATTACATATGTACATCTAAGATGATATATGGATTGTGCTGTGCTACTATTGTCAAATGTATATGATTTTTAGAATGTGCTGATCTTTAAACAATGTAGTTTTAAATTGCATTCTGATTAATAGTGGTTAATTACAATTCAATTGGAATTAATTGTGTCTAATTAATACTGTTCAATTTTTAATATGTTTAAGTCAATTGATCTGAATTCTATATCTAAATGGGGCATTATTTTTCAATTAGACAAATGTTGTACAATATTAAATATATATTTAAATATTATAAAAAAAATTGAATAAGAAAAAAGTTGTGGTTTGAAATAAGTTTTAAAATTATATATGTATATACTCAAATATAATGAAAATAGTAAAAATCAGAACATATTGTTTAGCAAAGAAAATCAAGGAAATATGATTTCCATATAGAAAATATTTATCTAGCCAATAAAATTTTAATAACATAATACATTTTAATGTATAATTAAAAATCTAGATAATTCCGTGCATAAATTTCAATTAAAATCTCCTGTGGTATATACAAAAATGAATTGAACATTTTCTTAATTGCATCGATGGGCCCGAAATTGATTTTTTCCTATTTGGCAATAATTATCTTGCACATTATTTACTCATAATTTCTAACTAAAATACCTATTAGCAAATACTTATTTGAGCTGTTGCGGAAAACTCTGTATGACTAATAATGGAAATATTTATTTGTGAGTAAATAGCCATAAATATAAACAATATTTAGCTACAATTTCAAAATTAATTTCAACGAAAAGCTGCGCTATTTACTATATCATTTGTGTCATCATTCATATGTAAATGTTTTTCCACCAACTTTATGCAACTATGGTAATTTTCTGCAACACTTCTTTCCGCTTACCCCCAGTTCCTCAGTTCCTCAGTCCACCATTCGCCCAGCCTCCCAGGATAGACTGCTTCACTTGCTCATTGCAAGCATTTTGTTTATAGTATCATTGGTGCCATCGTCGTTGCTGTTGTTGTTGTTTATCGTTTATGGAAAATTAAATGAAAATCCCAACGGATGTTTCAGCGCTTGTAATAAATTTTGCTCTAAACTGTAATAAGGCAACAGCTGCATTTGCGGCACTGCAAAGTCGTCTGTAGAACAACGCTGAGCGTTGCATGAGGCACAAATAGACGTTCCATGAAATTGTGTTTTAAAATTACAAAACTGAATTTTATTTGTTTTGGCTAAGCATACACTTTTTAGCTTTCAATGAAAAATTTTGAAAATTTAAAAATCTTTTCAAAACAAAAAAATTCTTAAACTTTGCATACCCATAAAGTCGACTTTATGTTTAAGAGAACATTCACGTGTATTCAATTTAAGGCTTAGCAAAATCCTTTCGCTTTATCAAAGTCCTTATCAACATCAACTGATGTAATGTTGTTAACATAATATACACAAGTATTTGCTGTCAGTAGAGAAAGGAGCAGCAGGAGAAAAACACGGTGTGCAGTTGCAATTGCCTTGTTGTAAATGTGTTTATATATGGAATATTTGTCAAGCAAATTATCACATCAACGGCAGTCAAAAACATGAAAGTCACATTTGAAACCATAAAAACCAACAACACGAAATGTGCTTTCACCAATGCACAGCCAGAACCGCCTGAACCGCCTGAACCAAAAAAACCGCCTGAAACAAAAAGGCAATGCCACTTTTTGCTCCAAATTGATATTAACATGGGTTTTATATGCGTACTTTGTACATCTTTAAACGGCAAAAAAGTACGGGCATATCTATGAAGCACAATAAAGTACTGATTAACAAAAAATAAACAAACAAAAAAATTATGCAAAAAGATGAAAAATAAAAATATGTTAAAATATGTCATACATGGCACACATATTTAGGCCCCATAAAAAGTAAATAACTTTGCAAAAACCAAAAAAAAGCACAAATATCAGCATAAACATGCTACTCCGAGGCACTCACTTCCACTGTCGAAAACATGTCAACGTCATACACAACAGAACCAACGTAAATTTGTTCCTATATTCCAACAGCAACTACCTTTGGTGTATGTCAACAACAAAAACATGTTGCTTATCAGAATTTCTGTTGCAATGCCATAATGCCGTGGAGCGGTAATCAGTCATAACGACTTAAAACCCTAAAACGCTATGCGTATTATATAATTAATTAGCTTAGAGCATTTCCTTTTTTTTGGCCTAATTCCTCGAATCAAGTTGTTTTACTACTTGTGCACATATATATGCAACTCATTAAGGTTTCTATTAAATAGAGTTTTCGAGCGAAACAAAAGAAACTGAGCATAAAAAACAACAACAACAATATATATGTGCATACCTAAAGATATACATATATATGTAAAAAGATGTAATATATATACGCAACAAAAGCTCCGTTAAACAAAAAAAACGAAACACCCATCTTAACGGTACTATGTTTCTTGTCTCCAGTCATCACATTTCATATAAAGTATTCTATTTTAAATAGATAGTTCCTTTAATGAATATATATATAACATATAGTTTGATATACGTACATAATATGTAAAAAGGTGAAATTAAATTCACATAGGTATCAACAAAAATCTAAAGGTCTCCCACTTTCTTTCTCCAGAATTTAAATATTGGCATCTTCTTTGCACTGTAGAGAAATACTTCCATACTACAAAAATAAATCAAACAAAAAGTTGTATAAAATCTTCTTATGTATAAACTCACAAGCTTTTACCTAATATTATTTATGTTATTTATTTATAGTTATTTATAATAACTACTGATATATAATCCGGACTACCTTGATATTGTATTTATATATAAACATTGCTATAAGCTCTAAAGAATTGATTAGAAATGTATTGCTTTATGTCATATGCGATTCGTTTAAGATTAGATGAAAACAATCTTAATTATTAATTTGAAATTAATAAAATTAATCTAACCTCTTATAATCCCTATCTTTCTTAAGATAAGAAAATATAGACTCCAAATTTTGTGATTCTGACGGTTGCAATTGCTCTTAAATAGTATTGGGTTGAAAAGCACAGAAGCTGCTAATTTTATAGTTCAAAGAGTGAATTTAAAAACTAAAGTATATATTTTACTTTTTTTATTATTTATTGATTTAGAGTCATTATCTAGCAAAGCGTCAACACCGTGGATGATTTTCATTTTACGGAATTAATGGAACTGTGCATAGTCGTACTTACTAAAGTTTCTTATTAAAGCCAAATAATTAATACTGAATGGAGCTAATTAAATATATATATATATAGCGAAAACTTGTTAAAGTCAGATACCTTACTACTGGTTAGTATGTATGGTAAATTATCCAAAAGTATTTCAAAGATTTCCGGGTCTGTGTGGGTATCACTGTCGTTCATGGTCCTGCCACTGCCACTATATAAATAATAAATATTAAATAAAACTTGACACAGCGTTTGTTATCCATAGAAGTAAAAAAAATTTAATTGTATTGTATTTAATAAATTTTTAAAATTATTAACCGAGAACATACATAATAATAGAGTACGAGTATATATTTAATTAAAAGAACTCAATGCTATCAAATAAATGAGTTTATATAAATTAATATAAAATTTTTTTCGTTCAATTACAGCCACTTGATCGAGACCAGCCGAATGGCCGTCCACAGTGGCGCTTCACTGTATTCGCACAGGATGAAGGTGGTGAAGGTTTGGTTGGTTATGCGGATGTACAAGTGAATCTGAAGGATATAAACGATAATGCACCAATATTCCCACAAGGCGTCTATTTTGGAAATGTTACTGAAAACGGCACAGCTGGCATGGTCGTTATGACAATGACTGCTGTAGACTATGATGATCCGAACGAGGGTTCTAATGCAAAACTTGTATATTCCATAGAGAAGAATGTTATTGAAGAAGAGACAGGCTCACCGATATTTGAAATCGAACCAGATACTGGCGTTATAAAAACTGCTGTCTGTTGTTTGGATCGCGAGCGTACACCAGATTATTCGATACAAGTTGTGGCGATGGATGGCGGGGGGTTAAAGGGGACGGGGACAGCCTCTATACGTGTAAAAGATATAAATGACATGCCGCCACAGTTTACCAAAGATGAGTGGTTTACAGAAGTGGACGAAACAGATGGTACAACGTTGCCAGAAATGCCAATATTGACGGTAACAGTACACGATGAGGATGAAACTAATAAATTCCAATACAAAGTAATTGACAACAGTGGCTATGGTGCTGATAAGTTTACAATGGTGCGCAATAATGATGGTACTGGTTCCTTGAAAATCGTTCAACCTTTAGACTATGAAGATCAACTGCAAAGCAATGGCTTCCGTTTCCGTATACAAGTGAACGATAAAGGTGAAGACAATGACAATGACAAATATCATGTAGCCTACTCTTGGGTTGTGGTGAAATTGCGTGATATTAACGATAATAAACCACACTTTGAGCGCGCTAACGTGGAAGTTTCTGTATTTGAAGATACTAAAGTTGGTACTGAGCTAGAGAAATTCAGAGCTACTGACCCTGATCAAGGTGGTAAGAGTAAAGTTTCGTACTCGATTGACCGTTCTTCGGATAGACAACGACAATTTGCTATCAATCAAAATGGTTCAGTGACAATACAGCGCTCACTAGATCGTGAAGTTGTGCCCAGACATCAAGTGAAGATTTTAGCTATAGATGATGGTTCACCACCTAAAACTGCTACCGCGACTTTGACAGTGATTGTTCAAGATATTAATGACAATGCACCAAAATTCTTGAAGGATTATCGCCCAGTATTGCCTGAACATGTGCCACCACGCAAAGTTGTAGAAATATTAGCAACTGACGATGATGACCGTTCAAAGAGCAATGGACCACCATTCCAATTCCGTTTGGATCCCAGCGCTGATGATATTATACGTGCTTCATTCAAAGTAGAACAAGATCAAAGTAAGTAAATGTAAAGTAAAAACTGGCACTGTTATTAATAGATTTATGATAAAAATTTGAGAGTAGAACTTAATTAAATTTCAATAGAAGCTAATGTGCAGGGGACAGCTTTGTGCTGTTGTTATATGCATTTGCTGATTTCCATAAACAAATGTAATTAGTTGAGGTATGTCAAATTGCAAAGCAAATAAACGCAATAAATCAATGTTAGATGTAAATTGAAAAGAAAATAGCACAAGTAAAAGTACATCATCCGAACAATTCCAAACATAATACAGTCAATGCAATCAATTTCGTATTTACCAGCTGCATACCATTTGGCTGAGGAACAAATGGGGCAACTGCTGCTACTATTTCTGAGATAGACAGCTTTGATGTATTGTTAGAAGGCGAGCTAAATGACTGACTGACTGCCTGACTGACTGACTGCCTGACAGACTTACTGACACATGATTTGAGCAGCCCGAGACATGGTCAAATACATGCATTTCACTTGGCTAAAGTAAAACTAACAATCATAATGCAAATTCTATCGAATTTAAGGCACAGAATGCCTTATGTACTTCATTTTTATTACAACAATAACTTGACTTACGAAACCAAGGTGTATAAAATAATTATACCATAGGGCAATGTAAAATTGGTAATAATTTTTGCTTTGTTTAGGCAGGTATATACACACACAGTATAGTGCTAATATCCTTAGAATTGTACCGTAAGCAGAAAATGTCTGTCCTATTGAGTACTACGTAATGCTTTGAAATACGGGTGTTCAAAAACAAGTCAATTCCATATCTGATAAGCAACCTGTGTATTCTGCATTAATGGAATGGCAACATTTTCAGAATTCAATTCAAGCAAATAGTATCAAGTTTACGCTTTAAATGTTCTAAAAGCTGAGAAATTTCGCATTTTCAACACCAGAATCCAAAGATTCCATATTAACATGTAAATATAAATTTTTGCTATACAAAAATGCTCCAATGCTCCACTTTCCTTGTTAAATATTTTATAAATTTATTTACTTCAATATTTGAAAATGTGTAAAATTTTTCAAAGCTGTAAATTCCATATGCAATTACCTTTGCAAATTTTTTTTAGATTTTTTGTTCTATGCAAATCAATTCGATATAGAAATAAAAAAATATTTTTGCAAGATACAAATCTGAATATCTGCGAGTACAATATTCAAATATAATTTCATTTTTATTTTAAATGAAAAATTAGAAATATTTATTTTGTAACATGAATATTCAATTTTAAATTAAAATATGTAGAAAAAAATATTAAATTCAAAAGAAGATCTTAACAGGACTTTTAGCTGCCGAAATTGTTAAAGTTTTAATTGATTTAACTTCAAAACAAAATATTTTCGTAAAAGTAAATATATTCAATATATTTGGACTGCAATGCGAATATATTGTAATTGAATATATCAATTAAAGAAAATTTTTATCATTCAACAATTTGAAGTCCATAAAGAAATTCCAAGATTCAAATTATTTTTAAATAAAAAAAAATTTTTTATCTTTTTTGCTCGGACAGGAAAAAGCTAATAAACTATATTTTCACATCTCAAGCTATAACAATTAAAGAAAAATATTTTTTTTATATTTTATTTGATACAATTATTTATATTGCTCAATTTATATTGCTTATTGCTCAACCTAAATAATGCATACAAATCCCGAAAAGTATTAGGTTTTGTTTGAAATTTATTAGATTGGATTTAATTGTGTATTATTTTATATATTATTTATATTTACAAACGAAATGTACAATTTTATTCAAGTGAATAGTATTTTTATATTTATTGAAAGAGAAATCATTTTAATTTTTTTTAAATTTAAATGTATTTAAATGTTAAAATTCAAATTCAAATGTATAATAATTAAATAAATAAATATATAAATAATAAATAATGAAATTAATAAATAGTAAATAATTATTCAATAATTAAATAGATTATTCAATTAATAAATAAGTAAATATATAAATAAATAATTAAATAAATAGATAAAGATTATTCAATTATTAAATAAGTAAATATATTATTAAATAATTCAATAAATAGATAAAGCAATAAATAAATGAATATTAATAAACAAATGAGTAAGTAAATAAATAAATAAGTAAACTATTTATAATTATAATAAATAAATAATCTATTTATATAAATGTAATAATATAATATATAGTTATATTTATATAGGAAAAAAATAATTATTTATAAAAAAATATGTAAATATAATTAAAAACTAAATATTTTATTTTTATAATAATATTTATTAATTTTAAAAAAATATATTTTTTAAAATTACATATAAAATTTTAAATTTATATTAAATTTGTATTCAAAAATATTTAACAAATTTTTTATTTATAATTAAAATTATTTTTTAATAATTTAAATTAATGAAAATAAAAATTTTATATTTAAAAGTATATTTTTATTTAATCTAATTAAAAAAAAATAGAAATATAATTAAATAAATAAATAATTGATTTAATAAATAAATAAATAAGCAAGTAAAAAATAAAAAAAAAGTATATAAGTAAATTAATAAATAGATAAATAAATAAATATATAAATTAATAAGTATATAAATAAATAAAGATTTCGATAAGTAAATATATAAATAAATAAATACACAAATAAATAAATATATAAATTGATAAACAGATAAAAAATAAATAATAAATGAAAACACATTTTTATTTAATTTTTATACATTAATTTTTATATTTTTATTTTAATTTTTATACTTCTATTTTTTATATTTTTATATTTCCATTAACTCATATTTTATCACATTTATTTATTTATATTTTTATCACATTTTATTATTATATAGTTTAATTATATATAGGTATAATTGTGCAATATTTTTATCTATATACTTATCAGTTTGCGGATGGGGGTAACATATGCTATCACATAAAGTAAAGTTTATAGGATTAAGTACATACCTTTTGTTTTGACGTTTCTCTACTGACTAGCCTTCCCCATGTCCCGGTATTGGCATTAGACAATACACTCTGGACATGGGTCGATAACGATGTAAGTAGTTATGGACCTATGACAAAGCTCCAGTTTGAACACACAAACAAAATTATTCAGATTATTAACAAAAAAATAAGTAAATAAATAAATAAAATAATATATTAGAAAAATCAGATCTTAAAGTGAAATTTCAATCAGTAATTGATCGTTAATAATTTACTAGTTCTACTCATTGAAGCATTTAGATTTCCAAAACATTATTCTTCAACAAATCTGCTACAAATGTTGAAATTAATTTACAACGCTTTAGTGGAAGTCGATTTAATTGCTAGATTTAATAACCCAAATACTGCTACCGACACAAACAGCTACACTACACACTCTACCATATATGCCGCATAAAACCACTTATTTGCTAAGCACTACGGCATTACACCATGGCGTACACATACGCAAATAGATACAAAGACCCGCATATAATGTACGGACTCTTATGCTAATAAAAATGGGTTAGCTTAGGTCAGATTAGTAACTGTAGAGCTCTAACATAGTAAGTTTAAATCTGTTGGTTTTATTTTTTTTTTTTTGGTGAAAGTTCTCACACAAAAGCAGCCCGGCTGTCTGCCTGTTAGCCTAAACCAAGCATGCGTGTGCCCCTTCGCCCGTCCAATTGTGCATTTGCACATTCATTTCAAACTTAATACTTGCCGGATTAAAAAGTAATTACAGTAGAAATCACTTAAACATTCTGTGGCTAAATTGGCTGCAGCTCGTTTGTTTTGCAAAACGAAAATTAGCATTTGGTCGAAATTGGCATTAAAATGTAAATAAGAAAGTTGTAACCATTTAACCGCCAAAAATTTTGTTAGCACAGAGAAGTGTTAAGCCAAGCCAAAAAGTTAAAAATAATAATACATGCAGTCGTCCCAAAACTAGAAAAAAAGAACAATTTCTCCACAGACATGCATGGCACAATAAAGGCTTTGATTTATAAACTAAATATTTTGACTTTAAATAAGAAAAAGAATCACAATTATTTTTTATTTTTCACTTCTTGCAGAGGGCGCAAATGGCGATGGCATGGCTGTTATATCCTCCTTGCGTTCATTCGATCGCGAGCAGCAAAAGGAATACATGATACCGATTGTTATAAAGGATCACGGTTCGCCAGCTATGACAGGCACAAGCACTCTGACGGTCATCATTGGCGACGTCAACGATAACAAAATGCAACCTGGCGATAAAAATATCTTCGTTTATAATTTCCAAGGACAATCGCCTGATACGCAGATCGGACGTGTTTATGTATATGATTTGGATGATTGGGATTTGCCTGATAAGAAGTTCTACTGGGAGTCCCAAGAACATCCACGTTTCAAATTAGACGAAGATTCCGGTATGGTTACAATGCGTCAGGGCACACGTGAGGGCCGTTACACCTTACGCTTTAAAGTTTATGATCGCAAGCACACACAAACAGATGTACCAGCGAATATAACCGTAACGGTACGTGAAATACCACAAGAAGCAGTTATTAACTCCGGCTCAGTACGACTCTCGGGTATTTCCGATGAAGATTTTATACGTGTTTGGAATTATCGTACACAAAGCTTAAGTCGCTCGAAACTCGATCGTTTCCGTGACAAATTAGCTGATTTACTCAATACTGATCGTGAAAATGTCGACATCTTTAGTGTGCAGTTGAAACGTAGACACCCACCACTAACAGATGTACGTTTCTCAGCGCATGGTTCGCCATTCTATAAGCCTGTGAGATTGAATGGTATTGTTCTAATGAATCGTGAGGAAATCGAGAAAGATGTTGGCATAAATATTACAATGGTTGGCATTGATGAGTGTCTTTATGAGAACCAAATGTGCGAAGGTTCCTGCACGAATACTTTAGACATTAGTAATTTACCATATATGGTTAATGCAAATAAAACCGCTTTGGTTGGTGTACGCGTCGATACATTAGCTGAATGTACTTGTGGCGCGCGTAATTTCTCTAAACCCGAATCTTGCCGTACTACACCCTGCTACAATGGTGGTCGATGTGTAGATACACGTTTTGGACCACATTGCTCTTGTCCAGCAGGCTATACTGGACCACGCTGTCAGCAAACTACACGTAGTTTTCGTGGTAATGGCTGGGCTTGGTATCCACCACTAGAAATGTGTGATGAATCACATCTAAGTTTGGAATTCATAACACGCAAGCCCGATGGTTTGATCATTTATAATGGCCCAATTGTACCGCCAGAACGCGATGAAATGCTTATATCAGATTTTATATCGTTAGAGTTAGAGCGTGGCTATCCACGCCTACTAATAGATTTTGGATCAGGTACATTAGAATTACGCGTTAAAACAAAGAAAACTTTGGATGATGGCGAATGGCATCGTATAGATCTGTTCTGGGATACTGAAAATGTACGTATGGTGGTAGACTTCTGCAAATCAGCAGAAATAAGTGAAATGGAAGATGGCACCCCACCAGAATTCGATGACATGAGCTGTCAAGCACGCGGCCAAATACCTCCTTTCAATGAATATCTAAACGTGAATGCACCACTACAGGTGGGTGGTTTATATCGTGAACAGTTTGACCCATCCTTGTATTTCTGGCACAATTCACCAAGCGGTAAAGGTTTTGACGGCTGTATACGTAATCTTGTGCATAATTCAAAGCTCTATGATTTGGCTCATCCTGGTCTATCACGTAATAGTGTTGCCGGCTGCCCACAAACTGAGGAAGTATGCTCACAGTCTGAACAGACAGCACGCTGTTGGGAGCATGGCAACTGCATAGGATCGTTATCAGAAGCACGTTGTCAGTGTCGCCCTGGTTGGACTGGACCTGCTTGTAATATACCCACCATACCAACAACATTCAAACAGCAGAGCTATGTCAAGTATGCACTCAGTTTCGAGCCAGACCGTTTTAGCACCCAAGTGCAGCTACGTTTTCGTACACGTGAGCAGCATGGTGAACTATTTCGTGTTAGTGACCAGCATAATCGGGAATATGGCATATTGGAAATTAAGGATGCACGTTTACATTTCCGTTATAACCTAAATTCGTTGCGTACTGAAGAAAAAGATTTATGGTTAAATGCTGTAGCAGTGGACGATGGTCAATGGCATGTGGTGCGTATTAATCGTTACGGTTCGGCAGCGACACTAGAACTTGATGGTGGCGAAGGACGACGTTACAATGAGACATTCGAATTTATTGGACATCAATGGTTGTTGGTGGATAAGCAAGAAGGTGTTTATGCGGGTGGAAAAGCAGAGTATACTGGTGTAAGAACATTTGAAGTGTATGCTGATTATCAAAAGAGTTGCCTCGATGACATCAGGTAAGTGGATGCAATATAACGACTGATTGTAAAAGATTTATACAGAAATGAAATAGTTAGCAATTAAAAATAGACTGAACAAAACAAAGGCATATTGAAGTACAAATTTTTTGAAATACAAGTACAAAAAAAAAAAATTAACAAAATTGAAATAAAAAATATTATATATCATTTTTATGGTATTTAATCACTTTAAAAATTGAAATATAAATTAAGCTTCAATACTTAAAGCTTATATTTTTATAAAGTAATTAAAAAAAATGAATTAAAATCAATTTCAGTAAGTGCGATATTTTAACATTAACACAAAAATGTATTAAAATTTATTTTTCACTTACATAGGCTTGAGGGTAAGCACTTACCACTGCCGCCAGCCATGAATGGCACGCAATGGGGTCAAGCAACAATGGCGCGAAATTTGGAAAAGAATTGTCCATCGAATAAGCCATGTTCGAATGTCATTTGCCCGGATCCATTTGAGTGTGTTGATCTTTGGAATGAATATGAGTGCACGTAAGTATCAAATATTCAAAATTAAAAAAAATTATTTTTATTTTTAATAATGTGATATTTTGCTTTTAAAATTTTTATTTAACATTTAAAATGAAAAATTTTTTTAAATTTATTTATTATTAACACAAAAAGTGCACAATTTTTCATTGAATTGTGGGATAAATAATTGACAGAAATATGAGAGACACTGACACAGACAAACTGAGCTTCGTTAAGTAAAAATCAATATCTTCAAGCTTCAATATAATATATATTTCAAAAATATGTAACTGATTATGCTCTATCAACAGATTTCATATATAAATCGATTACCGTAGAGCATCATGTGTTTGTGTATTTTATTATCTTATTATATATTAGTCTTGCATTTGTTGATATACATATATATATATATATATATATATATATATATATATTATATATATATATATATAAAAGAGTCAAATTTCTCTTTACTTATGCATAGGAGGAGTACGTCCATAAAAGTTAAAATTTCACAAGATTTTGTTTAAATATTAATTACAAAACATAGGTATGACTAATTAAATGTTAGTCAATTGAGTAACTTGCCCCTAAGAACTGGTATGTTTAATTTTTGTGATAACACATTTTAAATTTTAAGCTCACTTACTGTAACTCTGACTAGAATGACAATCGCTAGAATAAACACTATTAATATAGTCCGCTGGGCTAGTCTACCATTACAATGTATCTCGATTTAGAATTAAGTATCTGGGTGAAAATATTTTTAACTTACTTTGTATAATCTTATTGAATTAAAATGGATTTGAAAATTTTAATGGTTCAGAATTATCATTTTTAACAATTTTGGGTAAATTTTTTACAAAATGTCAATTCTGTTATAATTTTTGGAAATTTTTTTATTCGATTTTTATATATTACTTTATAATCTTCTGAATTTTTTTTATAAGGATATACTCAATTTCTTTGCTTTCTTTCTTTCCTTAGTCGAAGTCTGAATTCTGAACCAATTCGCACAAATTTATCAGTTAATATAGTGCAACTATTTTAGTGGTCACAGTTTTCGTCAGTCAATTTTTGTTTATTCCCGAAAAGTGCCCAGAATATTTAAATCATTTAAGCAGATCTATAACGTACAGCTGTTTTAATTCTATGTTTAAAAATAATTTAATTTCTATATGTCCAAAATAATTTCAGATGATCCAAAAAATGATAAAAAATATTGTTTATCCAAAATAGATCCAAATAATGTTAAAAATCACTATTTAAATATTAAACAGAGATATCTGTTACAATAGTTTTCAATGAACTAAACACTCTAACGCAGATCTAATTAAAATTAGAAAGAAGTAATTAGAAGAAGAAATAATGTTTTAATATGTCAATGAAATTTTTATAAACAGTATAGTTTATTTTGAATAGCTTTGTTTCACACTTGAAATATTAGGTTTTCTTTTAGTCATGTGTTGCATGATCTTTTAGTAATTTAGTGCGACGGATAATATATATTTTACATAAAAGTTTTATGAAAAATCTGGGTCTCCTCTTTTGGATATAAAAAGTAGAAGTAAAAAGTTTCATAAAAAATGGGTAACTTTTTGTACATTTTTATTTAATAAATTTTACTGTTTGTTAAAATTGAAAGGTTTTGAACACCTAATTAATAATTAGGTAATAATTATAATAATAATTCGGTTATTAATTATAATTATAATTGGGTTCAAAAAACCAAAGAAATCTTTATTTTTTATGACTATAAAACTAATAGGCGATGCCTTTGTTTGAGATTGTATGTTTATATATGTAATATATGTTTATAGTCTAATAGAAAGGAGTAACAAATTTTTTAAAAATACAAAAAAAAAATTTATGAAAATTTTGTGTAAGTGGATAGGTGTTGCAGTGCGTGAAATGTCATGAAATTTTTTTTTATTTGAAAATATGATATATGTATTCTCTATAGAAAATTTTTCTACTGTTTGAAAGTTGACCATTTTTCAAGGGGTTCCGGAAAACTAATTGGACTGGAGATGCATTTAAAAAAAAGACAATCTCAAAACCAATATTTGAATAATATTGAATGTTTTCTTGAATATGTTCTTCTTTCTGTTCTTCTTGAATAAAATAGAATTTTATTGAACATCTCTACTGATTCAGAAAATAAAAAAGTTTGTTCGTCTTATTTTAATCCTGCGTCTTTTACGATTTTAATTTTTGAAAAAATATTGGTACTAGTTTTCGCAAAACGCTTTGTATATTTTACCTGTTTCCTGTATATTATCGGTAGACAAATACTGATTCATACTTTATTAATTAGTGGATATTACAAATTTAATTATTCAGAAAGTTTTTCTTGCACTTTTATAAATATTTTTTTTTTCTATTTAATATAAAATAAAGAAATAGATGTGAAAACTGATAAGGGAGCTAGGGTAGGAATAAAAAGTAACATTTCGATTTTTTAGCAAATGGAATATATTATGAGAGCGTTTAAGCCATAGATTTTGTACATTCAGGCTTTTATATTGCATATCGTATCTTTGAAGGAACTGTATTTCTTTGTTCATGCATATCTTTCATCATTACTTAACGCCGTAGTAGTGGCGTAGTTGTACTCAAAAATCAAGCCATTGTCATTATTCATAAACTCCTTTCTTTCAAACCCCATGTAACGTTTTTATTAACTTTTACCTTTTAGCTTTTAAGTAGAAAATTAAACATTTTTATCAGATATATTAACTACACCAACCCAGCCACTCACAAACACAATATTATACTACATACATAATTAACACATGAACATTTTACACACACATACAAGGCATATAAAGAAGAAAATATTTTTAACACACATTTAAGTTAAGAAACAAAAAAAAACCAAATAATTTAACGAAAAACTCCCAACAAAAAAACACATAAAAAAAGTAAAATTTCCTATCTAAACTGTAAACAACGGTAGGCCGGTCGGTTAGTCGGTCGGTTAGTCGGTCAAGCTTTATAAATCAGTACAAATATGCCGTATCCGTTGAGATCAAGAGCTTAAGCTTATGTCATTCATCAACAAACTGCAGCTGCTTTTTAATGTTTTGTATTTGTCCGTCGGTCTTTAATCATCTGCAAATCATGTTAACTTTAACAGCGGTTCCTGTCAATTTAGTGTTGTTGTTGTCGTGTTGTTGTTGAGTTGTTGTTGATATTTTCGTTTTAATTTTGGCTCAACTTGAGCTTTACTGACTGCTAGGCGCACAAGCACATGTGCAAAAACAATTTTAGTTGCACACAAGCACACAATTAAAATAAAATGGTAAAATCAGTTACGACTTTTGATTAAAAAACTTTAAATTATATGAATGTGGATGTAAATGTGAATGTGTATGAATGCGCGTGTGTTTTCAGCTAACACTTCATTTTAGCGTTTTGTTTAAAATTGCGAAAATAGTAGAAAAAAATAAATAAAATGAAAAAAAAAAAGAATTTGAAAAGAAAACATACACAAAACAATGGCTGTATTTAAGAGTTTGAATAGCCTTGCGCCATTGATAATATGTGTACGAGCAAATTGCACATGTACGATATGTACGATATGTATGTATGTGTGCATATGTGAGTATGCATGTTATCATATTGACTTTGCAAATTAGCATATACAACGCCACAAATGCGCCGCTGCCTGCTGTTTTAGAATTTCAATTTTCTCTGCGTTGATTTCTGATATTAACAACTTTTCGCTACTTTTTACATATGATTTTATATATTTATTATATTTTTTGTTTGTTTTTGATTTTTATTTATTTGAAATTTTTAATTTCTGGATTTTCCTAATGTTTTTTTTCTATTTATTTAATTTTTTTCGTGTTGGTAATGCCATTTTTTGTTACTTTTACTTTCATTGGTTGTCCTAATTTTGTTGTGTTTTTAATTTTAGTTTATGTTAGTTTCAGTTTTATTCAGAAAAAAAAATCCGAAAAAAATACTTTCAATTGTGGCTAGCAGTGTACTTTTGATTTTATGAATGCAACTACTAGTGCTGCTGCTGTTGCTGCTGTTTCTGCCGTTGCTTCTGGAAGCTTAAGAAGCATTGCTCGTACATTTGCTGCATGAAAAATTTCAATGCAAATCAAGGCATTGCAATTTTAATTAAAAATTTAAATAGTCATGGCAGCACCAACACCAGCAGCAGTCGCTCCGGTATTAGCAGCAACAGCAGTTGTTGCAGCAGCAATCATAACAGTATTGTCAGCAGCTGTTGTAGTCACTTTGGATTTTTGAAGCAATTCGTTGTGCCAGCTTTCAGCTTCCAGCTAATTCTCTTTTCCTGCTCGGAATCAGAAATTATTTTTTGTAACAACAAAAAAAAATAAAAAACCAAAAACCGAAACAAAAAAATCTCATTTCATACAATTTTTTAATGATAATTTTTTTTTAAAGGAGTTTTTTTATAATAATATATTTTTTTTATATATACATATTTTGGTATAATTTCTTATATTTTTCATTTTTCTTTTATAATTATTATTTATTTTTCTTTACTTACTCTCTGTACTTTTTCGCATTGCTTTTAATGTTTTTAATTTAAATTTGCTTTAGGTTAATTTTAATTACCTTTAATGAAAGAAAACTCAAATACTTTGATCCTTAAACGTTCTTTGGCTTCTGTCGTTTATTTGTTCATAATTTTACTAAACTTTTTTTTTTTGTGTTTTTAATCATTTTTATTTAGTTTAGTACTTCTAGCAGACATTACTGAGTTCTTTGACACAGCAGCAAATTCCAAAAAAAAAAATTTTTTTTATTCTTGTTTTTACATTAGTAAGGGATGCTTTGTTGAAATTGAAGGTAGCTGCAGTAGAACAGCCACCAAGAAATGCTTTTATTGCACTATTTTGCTGTCATATAGCATTTTCTCTGTAGGAAAAATTTTCTCTCCAAAAAAAAATTTTCTACTTAATATCAACTAATTAAATTTGCCACCAAATGTTTGCAGCATATTTCACAAAATTTGTATATAACTATATATATAACTAACTGAAATATATGTAAAAATAATAAAATAAATAAAATAATAGGTGCAATTGGCAGGCTTTTAATAATAGACTGTACTATGGTTCCAGGGCAATTAGCATTGTATTGTGAACCTTTATTGAAAATCTTAACGAATAACTAACTCATATGTCAAGAGCTGTTTGTAGACTTTAGACTTTAGTAAGAGAATTTAGCAGCAAACTTTAGCAAAAAATTTCAGCTAGACACTTCAGCAAGAGACTTGTTGCTTTTTTCCGTACTGCGGGGCGACCGAATACACTTATTATTAGATTTTGCTGGTAAATTCATTGGGTCATATTTTTTCAAAAATCTGTCAGTCTGTATTGTACGGTTAATAAAGAGTGCCATAAGTTTATGATTGAAGAGGTTTTTGTTCCTTACTTAAATACCGTTAATGTGTAATTGCTTCAGTTTCAGTAAGATGGTACATGTCATGTCACATAGTGTGTGATGTAGTTAAGTTATTGTAGAAACTGTTCGATGACAGTTTAATTCCATATAAGGGTCCTGCAAATTAGCCCCTATGAACATGTGATCTTATCCGTTTGAAATATATTCTATAATGTTTTGTTAAGTCACTGGTCTACTCAGACTAAGCAGCCACATTGTACCATTTGGGAGAGTGATATGTGAAGAACCACATGGAAGTCGATTACATGAAGAACCATTTGGAAGCATAATAACTGAAGCTACTAGTGTACTCAGATAAAAAAGACTTATTTATCTTCTTGGTAACATTTGGAGAGTTTTTTTCAATATAGGATCATGCAATCATATTTATGTCTCAGATTACGTTTCATTTGTTCTGGATGTAGCTAATATATTTTCAATATTGCATTCAAACAGTGTTGGCAAAAAATTTTTTTTAAACGAAGCCATAATTGTGTACATGACTATAATTTTAATATATTAAATTCAATAGAAAAAAATAAACCTCTACAACATTTATATATGATTCCAATATGTGCACTTATCATACATTTCATTGAATTCCATACATACATATAGAACCCTACTCACTTTTATTATAATAAATATTTATTCTCAATGATTTAATTACACATTATATTCTATTTTTAAATTAATTTAATTAATTTTTTTATTAATTTCACATATATAAAAAAATTGAATTATTCATACCATTAAATATTTTAAAAAATTAATTAAATAAATCAAATACGTTTTTTAAATTATTACTGGGCTTAGGTTGTTCCATCTTGTACCCTGAAGATGGACCCTGAAGACGAAATAGACCGAAATATCTGGAATTTTTTATCAAAATTATTTTACAATTAAATATTCAATACGAATTGATAAGTGTAATTTTTATTTAAATTAAACATTTTTAATTTTTATGTGTTAAATAAACGACCTCAGACCAGTAATAATTTGAAAAAACGTATTGAAAATTGGTGGTAATAACAATTTATTACAAATTATTTAATTATATATAAAAAATGTATATATTTCATTTTCATATTTACAAAAAAAAAACAAATAAAAAAAAAACAAAAATATGTTGCAAGTAATCTAAAATAAAATTTATAAAAATAATATATGTATACATAAATGAATATATAAAATAAAACTAAAATCCATATTAAAGTTGCGGTGAAGGACGCATCATGTCACCCGATGCCAAAGGTTGTATGGATCGCAATGAATGCCTGGATTTGCCATGCTTGAATGGCGCAACATGCATCAATCTAGAGCCACGTTTACGTTATCGTTGCATCTGTCCCGATGGTTTCTGGGGTGAAAATTGCGAACTTGTGCAAGAGGGACAAACGCTGAAATTGAGCATGGGCGCATTGGCGGCAATACTTGTCTGCCTCTTAATCATACTGAGTGAGCAACAATTTCTAAATATGATTTATGCATTAATTACTGTTTCCGATACATTTCTCATTAAATTATATAATTATATATATAATATACATATATACTTATATATATATATATATGTGCATATATTATAATATATATACTAGTGTACTTGCGTACATTCACAAGTATATATACAAACCATATACCATAAATATATCTACATTTATATATACATGTATATATATTTATATATATATATATATATTTATATTTATATTTATTTAATTATATATGAATGTAGAAGTGATTTTTTTGTACTTATGTGTACACGTATTTTTGCAGTAACCCAAATTTTTTTCTATATGTGCTCTTGACTCAAAATTTTTTAATGCAAAATGTATATTTTTGATATTTGAAATTTATTTTTGTTGGTTCGTTCGTACATTAATGCATTAGAAATTAGATGCCTTGATTTCTTCTTTTGATTTGAAACCTAAAAGTAACAAAAAAAAAGCAAAATATTAAAAAAAAAAAGAAAATTATGCCAATTTGCAAATCCTTTAGTTCAGTGTAAATTTCGCCTTTAGTTCTTGTATTTAAATTGATTTCTTAGCAATTTTCTTTATGATTGGAAGCTCAATATCATTTTTCATAGGCAGCTCAGACCTTTTTTTACTGCATATTGCATATTTCCGTTCTCCATTTTCCGTTTCCGTTTTTGTAGCATTTTTCTTGTAGCTACTTTGACTGTCGTTATATGGTAGTATGTATGTCTCAGTTTGGCAAATGCTTGATTGGTGTTAAAAGACTTAGCTTTCAAAACACCATAGAGAATACGTTTTATTTGTTGTTGTTTATTACATATTTACGATTTACAATTTACAATTCTCATAACATACTTTAATGTATTCAAATATTATATAGATACATATACATATATGCTATATATATACTAGTATTTTCAGTTCGGCACATTTAGCAATTTTTTTCGTTGTTCATTTTGAACCATTTCATGCAATTTTTTCATATCATCACCCACATTTTTATGCAAAATTAAAAATCTTAAATAAAAAAAATTTTAAATATTATTTACATATTGTGTGTTGTTGTTTCATTGTTAACTTTCATGTTTTTTGCCACAAAAAAAAAAAGAAAAAAACAGAAAAAGGAAGACTAAAAATCATGATTCGATGTCATTTATGATTTTATTTTATAAATATTTAAAACAAAAAATAGCATAAAATTACAATTTTAAAATTTTAAATTGTTTCACAAAAAAAAAAAAAATATTTTAAAAAATTAAAAAAATTTAACCAATTTTAATTTTTTTTTCGATGCATGCCTCACGTTTCGTTAGAGCCAAAAAGTTTTGTTGACATGAAAAATTATTTTTTAATGAAACAGAAAAAAATAAATAAATTCATGAAAACGCCTCTAATATATAAAATATTATTAAATAAATAAAAAATATATTTTCGCATCGTTTTGCACTTAAATATTACCAATTATTTATTTTTTTTTTTTTGCATATTTTAATATTTAAATCATTCACCATGACTTGTTAAAAAGTTCGCTTCACACCATCTGCAAATGTTACCATTGACTCTCATTGAATTCTCATATTGAATTTCATTTTAATATTTTAAATATATTAAATTTAATTTCATTTTAAATTCGTATTAAATTCCCATTAAATTTATAAAAAATTTAAATCATTTTCTGCATAATCGTATTTCTTTTATTTTTAAATTTTAAGCATTCACATGCATTCGAGTCTATATGATTTATAATAAAATAACTTTTCATTTTATTTTATACATTTTTCTGTGTACAATTTTTTGTGTATAAATATTGTAATTTTATACAAAAATCATAGAAAAAATTAGAAAGTTTTAAGCCAAAAAGTTAATTAAAAATAACTTATCAAAAGCTAAATAAATATATTATATGTGTGTAGTAATTTAATTAAATTTTATAGATTAAATGTTATAATATATATTAGAAATCTATTCAATTGAGCAGCTTAAATTTTAAATTCAAAAACTATTATTATACGAATAATATATGACTTATAAAAAAGTTAATAAAAAGGTACGTACGACTTAGATATTAAAAAAATAATTTTCATGAATTCAACTTACATGTATATTAATATTTACAGCTTTATTAGTATATAGAAAATAAATAGTGTGTAATTGATAATATGTATATTTGTAAATTATATATATTAAGTGTTATTTTAGCGTCAGTGCTGAAAATCAAACAAGTATTTCTTTTTAAAATATTATGGCAACACTTGCAAGTCTGTATTAAATGAATATATATATTCTTCATTAAGCTGTCTTCCGTCCATACACAAAGTGAATATCTTTTTCTATATGCGCTTAAAAAAGATATAAGCCCATATATATAAGCACTATATAAGCGCATATAATGAAGCGCTACATAAGCGCTTAAAATAAAAAATAGCTTCTATATAAAATCGGTTTATGCAGGATTAGTGTTTATTTTTTTTAACAATGGTACGTTATTTATCGAATTGTAGTTAAACTAATTGATCTCTATCATACCAGTCTGTTCATTTTCGCATTGGAGTGCATCAAGAAATATATATGTATATATTTATATATACTTTGTGTGTCCTCAGTTGGACTGTAAGCAATTAAAAACATCATTATGTATAGAAAAAATTATTTTACAAAAAAAAAAATTATCCACCAGTAAAACATCAAAATCGATACTTTTAAAAATTATTAAATAAAATTAAATAATAAATTAAAAAAAAACTCTTAAAAATTACCAATAAAGATTCTTAACATTAGACTATAAGGAAACAGTGTTGAAAACTCCGTTTTAGTGATCAAAAGTAAACATTGATAACCTTATTATTTGAAACCTGAAATTTATCCAACCCAAAGTACAGGGGACAGTGGTTAAAGAAATAGATTAGACTGGTGATTCGGAACAATTGTTGCGTTTCTGCTGTTACTGTTAAAGAAATCTGTTAAAGAAATTGTTGTAAAACCAATATCAATCGTTTTATTCATTTTATGTCAACTGAATATCTTCTGTTTATAGATTGTAAATGTAAATCTTTATGAAGAAGAAATAATCACGTTATTTAAGTTGTTAGTAGCCTAATAAATTATATATCCAGCCAACATTTATAAGTACAACAGCTCAGTAAGTGCAAAAAGACCGAATGATTAGATGATATCCGCTTCTCTCTATCTAGATTTATCGAGTAGATAAAATCGAAGATTATGGCTATCGTTTTACGTTTAAATTTTCTGTAGATTTACAGACAGTTTTAACTGTTTGTTGTATTTTTCATGATATTATTAATTTTGTCATCATAAAACGCTTCTGTTTCTAATTTATATTTGAGGAAAGTGACAGATGGGTTGAGAAATTTACGCAACAATCTCTGTTTTCTATGACTAGTTTTTTTAATATAATTTCTTCATATATAATGATCTTTGCTTGCTTCCAGTCGGTTTATTTGAGCACATAGTTATAATACTTCGAGTGAATATTTACTTTTTCCAGCAATCCAAACATTCTATCATGTATTGACATTTTTTCCCGCGGATTTTTTGTATTTGTTCTTATATTACTTACTTCTTGTATCTTTAATTTAGTCAAATTTTGTTGATCGATTCGATACTGAAGCATATGAAATTCGCATTTTTTTTAAACTAAATTTTATGCATGTAAGAAATTCAATTTTTTCAGACTGAAGTTTCGTCCCTCACATGGACCCATATCCATTTATGAAGTAACTGATTCCCGATAACGAGAGAGGATTCTCTGGTAGTTGTAAGAAAGTTTCCATATAAAAAAATACAGTAGTAAACCCGATTTTACTATCATTTCTGTAACGTCATATTTAATTTTGAACAAAATTATTATTAATTTCCATGTAAAGATTTTTATGATCTGCTATTATTATAATGATAATTAATTCCTTTATTATTTTTTTCATTCTGTTTTTAAATCTGGGAGTAGTTACTTAAAGTGCAATTTATCGTTACAATTCTACTACACAACAATACCTTCTTCCTTATTATTAATGCTGACTCATCGGCCATTTGTAGAGTTTTAATAATCAATATTACCCATCTCTATATCCCTCAAGAGTGTTTTGATTTTATTCAATTCATAAAGTAATTTGCATATTAAAATTGGACTTACTTTATTTAAATCTGTTTATGTAGCATCCAGTTATTAAGCACCAGATTTTATATAATTTGAATGCATATACTATAGAAACCACCTCATTATGTTATTTATTCCAAAAATGCCGATACACCCTATACATTTTAGTTTTCAGAGATGCATATATATAAAATAAAATACAAGTCCATGCATTTATGTATATAATTTCCATAACATTAGATTTTCTCTATAGGGAAAATTTTAATTCTATATTTTTATACAATTTTCCTGATCGAAACATTATATATCGTTGTATTTTTTTATGATTTATTTAAATGTTTTATTAAGTGTCATAGGATAATTAACTTAAAATATATTATCACATAACTCATGTCTGACTGACTGTTGCCCAAAGTTATATTTAGCTATGATAACATAAATTATCAACTCCATGTAGTTATTTAAATAGCTATTCGCTATTGAAACCATCCAAACAATAACAATTATAAATTCAATTAAAATTATTTTTATCACTGAAATGCTGCAACCAGATATGCAGAAAAGCACCTCAGCTAATTTTAAAATAATGGCTGTCATATTAACTAAAACTGAAATTAATATATATGATATATGAGTATTTTTCATATGAGACGAAAAAACTTCAGGTATGTCAGGAACGTCAGGAATGTCTTTAAAACAAAAATGATTTGGAATTAAATCCACAAGCAATTGCAGTTTTAAGCTGAACCTCAATCGTCAAATGATATTTAAATGACCTTTAAGTACTTTTGCTCTTTTGAACATCATAAATTTTGAATTTCTGGAAATTCATATTTATTGCGTGAACCCTCGTTGAAAGTGGA